AGACTGCCACACAAAATGCAGGAAACAGTTATGTACAAAAGCGAAACTAAGTTTTCCTGCGTCGAAGCCACGGAAAAAATAAGCATGATTTAATAGCAAAAGAGAGAAGAAAGATACAAAAGGGATATTCAAACTCAAGACGAAACGAATTGACAATGCCATGTTAAAAAACGAAAAACGACCTATAACAACAGTATATAAAACACAACATTGAAAACTAAAGACTGAGCAACACGAACCCCACAAAATAAACGGGGGTGATCTCCGGTGCTCCGGAAGTGTAAGCAGATCCTGCTCCATGTAACCCCTAATGTAACTATGTAAGACAAAATATAAAGATATAAATACTGATGATTGCAAGTAAGATAGTCTAATGTTCTGTGAACATTTAAAGGTGGTTATTCAACTGATTTATAATAATTTTTGCTTTTCGAATTCAGAAACCCCCCCCCCCCCCCAAAAAAAAATGGCCTCATATCATACCCTCTTCTTTAATTCAAAAAGACTAAATTTTGTTCAATGATTTAAAGTTGAGTCATTTTGAGTGTTCAAACAAAAAATTTGATTGAATTACGACAAGAATAATGTGAGGTCTGGCTAATATCATCATGTACATCTTTTTCTTGAAATTGATACTGATGAAGAAATTTTAACTAGGATATATGAAAAATGTGATAACTGCAGTTTTCTTTGAGTGAAATTCCCCATGTTAGGAAGTAGCATAACATCTACCCCCGACTATGACTGAAAGAATATATGACGCATCCACAACTTACGTGTAGTCCCCAACTGATGTAAGCAGAGAGCAACTATTACAGTATGCTTTGATTTTAAACTGCGCATTTTAAACTAAAAGCCTTCCTGTACTGCCCTAAAGCTAAATTCAGTGAATATTGGACCTATGTTTCAAAAGATATAACACAGTAATTAAAGCTTCCCCCAACTTCAGTCTAGCAGTTGCTGTGTTGTAACTTTAAACATAGCAAATTCAAAATCAGTAGAGGGTTTCTTCACTCTATAGGGCATTATCACGCCAAATGCGGTAAAATTTTAACAAATGGTTCAGAGAACACTGTCTGGGACCATAATTTTAACAGCTTTCAATGCTGTTTTAGTAGTCTCTATTCGATTTCCATGCCAACATTATCTTTTAGCGGCTTATATGTACTATCAGAATCAAGAGGAAGATAACTGTTGCTAGGCAGTGCAATTTGTTTCCAAGTGTTTAATAATTTGTACATATCTGTACAGTTCGAATTTTCGTTAAATTTGTGGATGTACTAAGGAGTAAGAGGTTGCGGAATAAATAATTAAAATTATTTTAAAAAAAACATAAGTCTGTTGCCAAGGACTATGTCTGTTGCTAAGGAAAAAAATGCATCGTCATATCAAGTTACAGAAAATATGACTTTTTATGTAATTAATTTGTAAGCACTTGAAAAGAATTTAAACATATTTTCAGATACAATGCACAAAAATCTTATACTTATTTTCAGGAAAATATAATAATATTGTAATTGTCCCCTTTTGTTGTTGCCTAGCAACCTTTCCTCTGGACCAAAGACATGGAAAACTGACCTTAAAAAAATAAATATGCAGGCTACAAATTATACAAAATAAATGATTTCAGAAAAAACTAGTCAACTGGTTATCATACTCATCCGATTATTTCTTTATAAAAATAATATGTGTACTTATAGTTACTTAAAATTGAACTCCGTTAGTAAGGAATACATGTGTTGCTAAGCAACCATTTTATTTCAGATTGATCGTTTATGACCCCAGTGTGTGCTTATAGTCTTGACTTTTATAATACAAGGTTTATATTTGAATAAATTGGGGAATCATATATTCCTTAAAAATATTTCATTGAAAAATTGAGCTAAAAAAATGTTAAAATCTTATTTTCTTGTAAGGGCCAAAAATTTACATTTTTTAATGCTTATCCAAATTTATTTTTTCAAATAGTTGCTTGTACACCTACTATCAAGAATACAATAATAGGCAATACAATTGCTATCCGGAATTTTAGATAAAGGCAATTAAATTTTATGTGATTTTTAAACAGTTTTCAAAATTCAAAAATCCTACTATTTCAGGTTGCCATAGCAACGCTTAAAAAATATTAAATTGCTCAATACTGTGCAAATTATATCAAGGCAAGAAATTACTTTTTCACAGTATTGATTTCCTGCTTAACTTTGAAAAATGCATATTTTATCACGTTTTGGGTGGTATTTTGACGAGTATCTCAGGAATGTAATTTGTTACCATGGAAACAAGTGGATTTGCAAAAATATACCATTTTCATCTTTTTTGTGTTATATTACATGCAACACATCATTAAACACCAATTTTATGAAAAAATAATTGTTTGACATTCCATTCAAAACTCAATGCTATCCTCGGACAAAAGACCTCTGGTTTATGCTCAAAATGTATTTATATAATATACCTTTGGCTTTCCACACTTCAAGTTGGCCTTTTATAGCCGACTATACGGTATGGGTTTTTCTCATTGTTGAAGGCCCTACGGTTGCCTATAATTGCTTACATCCACTTCATTTGAACTTTTGTGGATAGTTGTCTCATTTGCAATCATACCACATCTCCTTATATTTATATCAGAATGTTTCTAATTCAGATTAATCCTGAAAAGTGTTTTGAACGATATAATTTCGGTATACAAGTTTTATCTGAGCTATCTAAGAAGCACGTGTAAATAAAAGATCGGTATCGATTGAAGCAATGGCTAATTAAATGATTGAATTTTTACATACACTAACAGTTCGATGTACCAGTAAAGGTGTCACATTAATGTTTGTACATGCAAAATTCATCCACATTGAATTACCAGAGTTCAAAGAACTTTTGTGACAATGCATAACATACATTCAGTAAAAATCGCACCGCACGTGCTTCTCAGATAACTTAGATAAACTTATATAACTTGCCGAAGCTATAACAACTGACCACCGAATGAAACCCCTTTAGGACTATAGGTATTACCGACATATTAATAAATTCAAAAGTTGATGTAATTTTAATTGATACACGTACACGAAATAATTTATATCCTCATCTATTATTTCATCTTTGGCCTTCTAGTCTAGATCGTGTTGTGTAATTGGGGAAGATTATTCCAGAATAAGCTGCAAAGGCTCGGTCACTGGTGGACTGATAGTCCTAAAGGGGTTTCATTCGGTGATCAGTTGTTATAGCTTCGGCTCTAACTTAAGTTTTTAGCTGATAGATAAATTTTTACAATCTTCGATAAATGAAATGGTTAAGTAACCAGACCAAACCCTCCTGTTAGTACCAGTGGTTCTGTTCCCAGTGTTGAAAGCTTTACACAACAGAGTGAATACAGTAATTCTAAATTATACGAGGACGGAAACAACTACGTTGTTAAACTTTTAAAGGGGTAATTAGAAATTCAAATTGAGGGGACAACACACGTGTGAAACATAGAAAAAAAAATACAGGTACTTTATACTGACACCTCCTCAGATCCCGTCTAAAAAATCTAACAGTATGCATGTCTTTAACACAAAATAAGAAAGCATAATAAAGTTACAATTGACGAACACTTGACCTTCAAATGAAGCAAATCATTCAAATATAGCGGAAATATATACATGTACATGCGTCATTAAAATTGTCATTAATTTTGTCCTGTTTAAACCAGACGACGGGATGTGTTGTATCACCTACCTGGAAGTACGCAATAATTTTTACTACGATGTGGTGACTTGGTCATTTGTTTTTATGCAAGAAAATAATTGGCGTCATAATTTATTTTCGACAATGTACAAGAGTTTACTGTAGAAACACTGCATGTTGTAACAGACTGAAAACCTTCCATTCGTGAATTTGTAAATCAAAATGCCATACATGCATGTATTCGCGAAATCCTCGTCTGTAAATGACAAAGTGTAAACTTAAGTTAAGTAACTTGCTTAATTGAATCCCCCAAGGGTGACTGGGGAATATAAATATGGTCAACATTAGTCTTCCTCCGACCGGCAGTAAAACCCTCGCCAAAGTGGGGCGTCCGTTTGGCTGTGCGGGTTATACAGTCTAGTTCGCAGCAGACTGAAAACCTTCCATTCGTGAATTTGTAAATCAAAATGCCATACATGCATGTATTCGCGAAATCCTCGTCTGTAAATGACAAAGTGTAAACTTAAGTAAAGTAACTTGCTTAATTGAATCCCCCAAGGGTGACTGGGGAATATAAATATGGTCAACATTAGTCTTCCTCCGACCGGCAGTAAAACCCTCGCCAAAGTGGGGCGTCCGTTTGGCTGTGCGAGTTATACTAGTTCGCAGCTACGTTCGGTCAGAATGGGGACGTTAAATCCGATGCCTCTGTACGTCACGAACCCTTGCAACAACTCATTGAGGGGTCCGCAGGTGACTTGTTACAAGGCAAAATTTCTGTACCTATCCAATATACCCACTTTTTGCCAGTGGCAGTCCAAATTTACCAGACCTTCATCCCGAACGGCCTCTATTACAGGACCTTCATATTGTATTTATTTTGAATTTGTTCTCGTCCTGAACATGCATGAAATGTTTGCCACTGGACGTTCAGCAACCAACAATCAATCAATGCTTAATTGAATATTTCCTTAATTTCTGAGATATTTGTTAATCCCTGTCTTGCACAATTCGCCGTTTTTTTTTCTAATTTTCAATTTCAGTTTCTTGTTTAAAAATCACGTGTCGTTATAAAGTTGATGCGGACTATATGTAATAACTTTTGTCAGTTCGTCCATGTCGTTGCATCGTAAAAAAGTTAATTCTAACAAAAAGCCTTTCGCCCCTAAATGAAAGATATCCTCAACGATGAACTGTCATTTCCTTGCGGTTCACTACCGTTCCTGTTATATGAGCAATTTTTTTATCGGGGCACCTCAACGTTTATACAATTGAACAGTCAAGAAGATTTTCTAATCATGTAGTTCTTGCTAGTATAATAAACCGGATCTTTATAATGCTAATTGAACTGAAAATACTGAAGTTTATAAGTATATACATTTTCAAGAAAGAAAAAAAAACGTATTCTAGGAAAAAGAAAGAGTAAAGTTATGTATCAAATAAAAATTATGTTATTTTAAGTTATCGATCACTTTATAACTATAATTGTAACAACGTAAAACAAAAGAAGCAAATTACAATAGCAAAAAAATTGCCTTTATAAAACAACCGGAAAACCATCACATTCATTTAACTATCACTACACCGCAGCAGAGTAGATACACAGGAACGTTGTATTCAAAATGAAAATATTTGATATTGTTTTGCTTTTTCTTTTATCATTTGATAATACCTATTGTATATCCACTACTGATTTTTATTCTTTTGGTTCCGAAAATGGCGATACAAATGCTCCAACAAACGACGATGGATCAACAGCTCCAATACCAGTTAGCAGTCTATTTCCATTTTTCAATCACCAGCACGATTCTCTTATTGTAAGTATATTTATTCATATATTTAGAAAATGAATGAAAGTGACATATTTTGAAATTTTAAGTTTTTTTATTACACACTAAGTCTTGCCAGTAGCTCGAATATTCACGCAGATTGTCAGACTGGTCGCCTGTTTTGTCTACATCTGGGTATTTATCAATCGTACTTGTAGCATTCATCACTGACAACACTCATTATCCCCGTTTTTTGATAAATACTTCATCTTGTTTTGCCTTTTTTAATAGAATTAGCAGAATCTCAATAGCCTCGTCTTTCAGAATATATGATCCTTGAAAAGGGTATCAAACCACGTTAGAAACACAATTCAAATTTTCATGTTGATACTATTGCGACTGACGATTGCTCCTATACTCCATCGTTACTTGATGAAAATATGACAGATACTGTATCGCCACTGTTTAGTTGTGAACGCAGTTTACTTTATGATAAAACATTCTGAGCAAAAAAAAATAATAAATTTACAACCTGTGACCATTTACTGTAACAAAAGAAAAGATAATAAAAATAAACGAAACGAAATAGAAATAATAAAAAAAAAATAATAACGGATTTAATAAATTAATGCTGGATAAAATCTTCTTTTATTGATATTTATGAATAGTACGTGGTATTTTTCAATTGTAGGTTAATACTAATGGAGTAATTTCCTTTCTTGGAACAATGAGTTCTTACACACCAACTCCATTTCCTTTAGGCAGTAGCAGAAGATTGGTAGCGCCATATTGGGCTGACATGGATACAAGAAATGGAGGTGACATATGGTACCGGGAAACAACAAATTCTACGTTATTACAAAAAGCATCTGTAGAAATACAAACGATATTTCCACGACAATATAATTTTAAAGCATCATGGATGTTCATCGGTACATGGAAAGAAGTAGCATTTTTTGGTGCCGACTCTAATGGTAAACAGAAGGTAAATCATTTAGAGCATCGAGTGTTTAATCCAATAATTAATGATGACAAAAATGGAGACGAAAACTGAACACGAATGATGTAGTTTGCAATTTGATAGATGGTATGTTGGGTTAGAAGAGAAGCATAACAAAAACGGTTTGGTGTATTAAGCATTTATACACGTGTAATGGAATTCCATTTAGGTAGTTGTTTTTGAGTTAATTTTGACGCAGTATATGTGTAATGATGAAACAGGAAACAATGCTGTTAACGTTTATTTGTTCCGCCTTACAGAACTTCCCCTGGAAACTTTGTTATAAACAATGGCATAATATCTGTTCCTGATGGAACAAATATTCTATAAACCATTTATTCCGTAAGGAACAAATACTGTAACAATTTTGTTCTAGTGGAAATATTCTTCCAGAATATTTTTTTTCTATTTGGAACTTATATTATGAGTATATATGTTACCTACTATAATTTCAGCGTAATATTCGTGTAAAAAGGGCTATAGGTCTTGCATATTAGAGTGCACTTACCATAGATATACTTTGTAGCACGATTAATATTTATACTTTCAGAGAAATACATTCCAATGTGTATTGATCACAAATGGCAGACATTCATTCGTTATGTTTCTATATGATAAGATTGAATGGACAACAGGCACGGCTAGTGGTGGGAGCAGTTCAACTGGGCTTGGAGGTACACCGGCACAGGTATAATTTTAAAATCAGAATACATAAAAGCATCATGATATTGGTATTAATTTTACTTAAGAGCGTCACATCAGTGTATCAAAATGTAACATAACTTGATAGTATGTTATCAACCAGAGCAACGGGATTATCTTCATTTTACTAACCAAGTCTGTTAATTAGCTCTATTATAGAGCTTCTATATCTGGATATAATCTTACATCCGGTTGAAAACGAAGACGTTTTTAAAAATCTCATGCCTTGTGTAGAGCGATTGTCGTACTCTCTAAGCGACTAAGAACCGTCACAACAACTCTCTGTCGGTGGCCTGCTTCTGTCCCTATCTTGCATGACTTCATATTTTAGTAGCAGCCCAAACTTTCCACTCTTCTGTCCGGGTATACCTACCTTTTAGAACCTACATATTGTTTTATTTGTTACTTTATTCTCGTTCTTGATATGCATGAAATATTTGTATATATTAGTGAATTCGAGTATACTAGTTATATACTAAAGTCGTGTTCTATTTGACCAGAACAAAAATTACTAAAAAAAAACAGCAACGGTTTTTTTATTGATATTGTGTTCATGAATGTGTTTGTTCGGAAGCCACAATATTTCCAAAATTTTATTTGCACTTTTCAAATTTTAATCCTGGTATCTAAGTTGAGTTTATTGACAGGTAGGGTTTGATGCAGGGGATGGTATCAACTACTTTGCAGTAAATGCTTCTAGAACAGCAGATATCATTAACATACCACGCATGTCCAACGTAGATATCCCAGGAAAATATATATTCCGTGTGGATTCTACGACAATAGAGCAAGGAGGATGCAATGTTAATGGTATGGATATGATGTCTGAAAAAACCCAATTCTTATAATATGGAAAATATAAAAAAGAATATAATTCATGATTTGTTTTACACTTTCAGTTGACTCGATTATAGAAAATTTAAAAAAAAATCATTTAACATGGAAAAATTAGAAAAATATATGAACCAAAAAGCTAAAATCTAAAGCAAATTAAAATAAGGTTGAAGTTCATAAAACCTGAAAACGCTTGACTCTATCAATCAACGGAAAGAATGGAAAACAACTGTCATATTCCTGACTTGGCACAGACATTATCTGAAGAATATGGTGGTTTAAACCAGGCTTAAAATCTTACAAAATCTCCCACTTGTATGAAAGTTTTTTATAGTTCCGTTTTACTGACAAAAAGATAAAACTATGCTTTACATACATGAATCTTTCGACTTGTGCTTATTAAAGTAAACGATTCTGTGTGATTTCTCTAATATATTTATCTAAATATCACCATGGTGCAAAGTTCAAGCTCCTTTAATGAAACATCAGTACACCGCCACTGATTGATATAGACATGTAAGGGTTAAACTGCAACAGCACAACAAATAGTTAAATTTTTATGCAATACAAATATTGCAAATCTGTCATATAATATATAGCTTATAATTTTGAAATGTTTATCAAGAGATTTCTGAATATATTTTAGGTACTTTAACAATAACTCCTCGAGAAGCTTTAATGTTTGGTGGAACGAGACTAATTGTTTCTGGACCTTGCTTCAACCTGGCCAAAAATATCAAATTTTATATGTCAGATAACACTGAAGTTTCCTGTCATTTGTTGACTGATATCAGTATTTCTTGCATTTCGCCTATGGTATACAGAAGTGGAAAATATAGAGTTTCATTGCATGTACAGCAGTTCTCTCAGACAGTTACCAAATTCCCAGGAACATTGACGATAGGTACAAATCTTTCAAATAGCCTTCTTTACATTAAAATCATCATTAAATAAAACTAAATTTTTGAAAGAATGCTATTAAAATCGATGCAATTGTTATAGTCAGACACATGAACAATTAGTCTGATTGTTTGAACATATTTGCTATATTTCATATATATAGATAAATATTCATACATTTGTGAGCATAGATTCTGAATTAAACAATGCAGGTATTCAAAATTTTATACGATGCACATATATTTTTGATTTAGATCATGTTTTAAGTTCGAGGGGTATAACGAAACGTGTAGAATAAAGGAAACAAACGATATCTGTTTGCTCTATCAGAAAGTGTATATGCAAACAAATATATTAAAAAAAACTATGTAAGAATTAAATATTGATTTTTTTATACAGTCTATCCTAAATTGAGGTAAATTATATGGCCTTCAAATACCGTTTCGATTCCTAACATCACTGAAGAGACATTAATTGTCGAAATCCGGATATGGTGTACTAAATTTTGCACCTTTTGTTTGCGGTATACCATCTTTTCCGCGAGTTTATTGTTTTCTGTTCGATATTTAATTAATATTTAAGATCAATTTTGTTACATCTGGTGATCATTTCGTTTGACAATCGCCAATGGCAGTCAGCAGGGTTTAAGAACATCCGTTGTTCGACCTGTTGTCAAATGCGTTTTGTTAAAATAGACTTTGTCACTTTTTTGGTCTTTTGGAAAATGTTGTTTGTGCTGTATTTAGACCCCTTTATATAATATATATAGATTATAACATGGCATTTTTCATATCAGACCCCTTATCAGCCCTAGGTCATGATCGTGACAGCTTGTGGCTATTAGCTAATACCTGGAACGTAGTACCGGGAACCAGGATACAGAAAAGCATGCGCTAATAACCGGAAGCAGTTGATATAAAACGGAAGCAGTTGATATAAACCGGAAGCAGTTGATAACAAAATTCATATCACACGGCTAAAGCAATTCTTCAAATTTAATGAATAAATATATGTACAAATAAGTTTTATCATGGGGTACAATTAAGCCATTATTTTCTATAAGTATATGATAAATATATATATATGGATAAAATCTGTTGTAGAGTCGTCACTGGTTCAGACGTACTTATAATATAATTATTTCTGTGACTGCATCTTACATTAATTTGTAGGATCCTTTACAATAGATAATTCAGCTGATCTGTAACAATTCCATCTTCATCCCTTATATATATCATGTACTGTGTTACGACGCTAGATAAAACTGACGAGGAAAGGTAACACCCGGCCACCGAAAGCTTTATTAATATAGAGCCTAGGTGGTCGAGTGGTCTAGCGCGTCGGGCATAGTGCAAGGCGAATTGGTGCCACGATATCTCAGTAGCATGCGTTCGAATCCCGGCCAGGGAAGAACAAAATATTTGCTTCCGCAAATTTTCAGATCTAACATTGTTGGGTTGTTGTTTGGACGAATTATATATATATATACAAGTCTAAATTGAAAACATATATATTAAAACATATATATATAAACAAGTCTAAATTGAAAACAACGTTCAAACCTTTGATTGCGTTGGATAAAAACCGCAATTTTTATACGTGTGCATGCAAAACAAATTTCTTGGTAGAGGGGTCTAAATACAGCACGAACAACATTTTCCAAAAGACAAAAAAGTGATATATATATATATATATATATATATATATATATATATATATACAAGTCTAAATTGAAAACAACGTTCAAACCTATGATTGCGTTGGATAAAAACCGCAATTTTTATACGTGTGCATGCAAAACAAATTTCTAGGTAGAGGGGTCTAAATACAGCACAAACAACATTTTCCAAAAGACCAAATGAGTGAAAAAGTATATTTTAACAAAACGCATTTGACTAGCAGGTCGAACAACTGATGTTCTTAAACCCTGCTGACTGCCATTGGCGATTGCCAAATAAACGGATCACAAGATGTAACAAAACAGATCTTATTATTAAATTATTACTAAACAGAAAACAATAAACTTGCGGAAAAGATGGTATACCGCAAACATGAGGTGCAAAAATTTGTACACCATATCCGGATTTCGACAATTAATGTCTCTTCAGTGATGTTAGGAATCAAAACAGTATTTGGAAGGCCATATAATTTACCTCAATTAAGGATAGACTCTTGAATTTTGAAAGAGTCAAAATAGGATGAACGGATCATATAAACCCGAAAGCAAATATAATACAAGCCCAAACGAAAAAATATAAACAAGTCTAAATTAAAAACAACGTTCAAACCTATGATTGCGTTGGATAAAAACCGCAATTTTTATACGTGTGCATGCAAAACAAATTTCTAGGTAGAGGGGTCTAAAAACAGCACAAACAACATTTTCCAAAAGACCAAATGAGTGAAAAAGTATATTTTAACAAAACGCATTTGACTAGCAGGTCGAACAACTGATGTTCTTAAACCCTGCTGACTGCCATTGGCGATTGCCAAATAAACAGATCACAAGATGTAACAAAACAGATCTTATTATATATATATATATATATATATACAAGTATAAATTGAAAACAACGTTCAAATCTATGATTGCGTTGGATAAAAACCGCAATTTTTATACGTGTGCATGCAAAACAAATTTCTTTGTAGAGGGGTCTAAATACAGCACAAACAACATTTTCCAAAAGACCAAATGAGTGAAAAAGTATATTTTAACAAAACGCATTTGACTAGCAGGTCGATATATATATATAAGTACGTCTAAACAAGTCGGACAACTCTACGACAGATCCATCCATTGGATCACCAGTGAAGGTCATACACGGCAGAAAACACACATTATATATTCATAATTACTCTAAATATCAGCACAACAATGTTAAATCTGCTAATTTGCGGAAGCAAATTTTTGTTCTCCCCTCGCCGGGATTCGAACTCATGCTATTGGGATATCGAGACAACACTGCCTGCACTGTGTCCAGCGCACTAGGCCACTCGTAGAGTAGTCACTTGTTTAGACGTACTTATCAAATAATTATTTCTGTGACTGCATCTTACGATCCTTTACGTCAGATAATTTAGCTAATCTGCAATAAAATCCATCTTCATGCCTAATATATCATGTACTGTGTTACAACTCTAGATTCTACTGACGAGGGAAGGTAACAGTAAGCCACCGAAAGCTTATGTTTTAGTTCAATCTAGGTGGCCGAGTGGTCTAGAGCGCTGGACACAGTACAGGCGGTGTTGTCTCGATATCCCAATAGCATGAGTTCGAATCCCGGCGAGGGAAGAACAAAAATTTGCTTCCGCAAATTTTCAGATTTAACATTGTTGTGCTGATATTTAGAGTAATTTTGAATATAATATGTGTTTTCAGCCGTGTATCACCTTCACTGGTAATCCAATGGATGGATCGGTCGTAGAGTTGTCACTTGTTAAGAAGTACTTATATATATATATAATGCGGCTTTTTCACTATATATATATATATATATATATATATATATATATATATAGTGAAAACGCCGCCTATTTCTTCTTTTATATTCAGTTAATCCTGCTATAGCAAGACAAGTTCTGAAAAGGGAACCTAAGCTATGGAAGTACAATAGTCTAGTTAGTGTCTATTGGAACCCAACAGTTTTAAATTTCCCGAGCGACGAAGTAATCAGTCTACATCTGTATACTATAACGGTAAGATGTACACATTTCCAGATAATAAGGCTACAAGTGCGACACATTTATAAAAAATTCAAAAAAAAAACGTATGTTTCCACAAAAAGAAAACTATTTATTAAGATTGCATTGACCTAATGTCGCGAACTTGTTTCATATATTGTAAAGATTGAGGACAATACGTTGGTGCTTGATTTTGATATTTTGATGATTTTCATCAGTTTCGTTCTAGAGATATGTTGCTTTGTTTTCATTCCCTTATTGATGCGTACAGCTATTTATTTAGTTTTATACTAGGTCTTTCAATGAATGTTATTATTTATTTTACACTAGTTAAACTGTATTATAGAAAGAAAACCTAATATATCCTGTATTGACCTACCATTCCAAGATATCAGCATTGAACTCTACAGTGTTTGCAAATGGGAGGCATACTTTCAATCTACAGTTTTCAAACGACGCAGGAATAATCAAAATGTCAACAAACAATCCAAAAAGGTATCTCCTCAATGATGCGTGAAATACTTGTTCGTAGTATTATCTAAAATTACTGACTAAAATAATATCGAAGCTACTGCGTTATAACGAAAATTAACTTGTACACAATCAGAAAGATAATACAGAAACTAATAAAAAAAAAACACATAACAGATGAAAACAAGTTGATATTTAAGCCAAGAGTGATATCAATTAGTCTGTCTATTCTGTAGACATTCAATTTCCAACCCATTATTCCGTCTCTATCGTATTTACTACTTTAATTCTACATTGCCTATTAAAGGATATTCATAGTTTTAATTAACTATAATTATAATATTCTCTTTTTATTATTTTCCGACCAGCTTTGTGCAGTATGCTAAGTTAAAACCTCACAGTGTTGTACATTTGTTGACTCTTAATCTAGTCTTTTTCTCCAGATAATTTGATATCTGGATGTCCAAACTTTAATTTTCATCTACGTTTATTTAAACTGGTCCGCCATTCCATCTAAATCTCTGCACCGTTAGTGTAGCAATAAGTGAACACAACAGGGTCCATTTTACGTTTATTAACTTACTTTATCTTACTACGCTTGTCTGCAACGCTGTTCGAAGTTTAACATCCAATCACACAAAGATTAACGAAGACCGCAAAATAGCTGTTCGCCAATAGTGGCCGTTGTCTTCCTCATTCAAATAATACCCCCCTTGAACTGGAAATCATGTTGTTTTCTCAAACCACGCCTACCATCGATTGATATCAGCTAATAGCGCAGATAATTTACAGATAATATAATATTTTGAAAAATTCAAACATCGACGTCTGCTGGAGAAAATATAGGAAGGAAACGAAAGAACGAATCGACACACTGATTTTGGGATAGTCGTATGAATAAAAGAAGGGCGTGAAACTGATATTGATAGAATCTCGGTCCTTTTATCTTTATCAACAATAGCAGAGGTATAATCAATTAAACAATAGTAGAATATAAAGCAGCAGCCCCTTGTTTTTGATATATATCATTTGTGCCAAATGTTATTTTTAAAGGTATCAATTGCGCCATGCCTTTAAATCAAGCAGAACCAGTTCTACCTATTGAGAATAATATTCTTCAATAATCATCAATTGAAAAACTTTTAGGTGTTAGAATCGACTCTAATCTATCATGGACAGGCCATGTTAATTACTTATGTTCATCAATATCACCAAGACCTCATTTACTCTCTAAGATCAAGAAATTTCTAAATATTGATTCAAGAAAATTATTCTATAATGGTTATATTCTCCCAATGATAGATTATTGTTGTACTATATGGAGTGGTTGTGCTTAAAATGAGCTAGTAAGAATAATAAAATTGCAGAAAAGGGCTGCAAGACTAATTTTAGATGCTGATCCACTTTCATCATCAGCACCTCTGTTCAAACTGCTTGGGTGGATGACAGTAGAGAACAGAATCTCATACCATAAATCTGTTTGATGCAGAAATGCCTTAAGAATGAAGCCCCTGTATATTTAACCGAAAAATTTAAAGAAATGTCAGAAATAAACGAATATTGTTTGAGGAATACGTCTTGCAAAATAAAAAAAAGTTCCAAAAGCCAAAACAGAGCTGTATAAGAAATCTTTTATATATTCAGGATCTATTTTATGGAATAACTTACCACTATCCCCGAAAACATCAACCTCAAGTACAAGCTCATTCAAAAATGATTTAATTTAAATTACTTGTTGGAACATTAAGAAGCTGTGTAATTTTATATGCATAATTATTTTCACACACTTACTTAAACTTTAAATATTGTTGAGCCAATGCTATATGAATTCATAATTTTTACCTGTTTTGAAAATTATATATTTCATAACATTTTCTTATGATTTTCTTATGTGTGTGTGTTTTTTTATTATTTTTGTAATTGTTTGTTTGTTATATTTCATCGCATTTCATGAGGGCCTCAGGGAAGATTAGTGTTATAGCTAACTGTGTAACCCTCTTTAAATAAAGAATTATTATTTTTATTATTATTATATTATACGGAATTCCTTTTCAACAATTTACTTGTACACATATTTATCATACATAATAGTCATAAATAAATTTAGGTACCTTTATCAAGAAAAGTATTCATTGACTGAGGGAAATAAAAATATTAGTTGAGAAAAGTCTTTGCTGTTTCCACCATCCGTATAGACTGAAACTCCACTGTACGCGAGACGCACTAATTGTAGACCAGTGGCATTTCGTAAGCGCTACAATTAGCTGTTTTAGTCATCACATGTTTGTATTTTTGGACAATGTTGTGAAATTTCAAGTCGCTACCTACATTAAATTGCGAAGTTAGAAGCAGTCATATCTTATCAACAGAAACATTCCGCTCAAAAGTATCTGAATTATACGAGAGGTCAACTCAGACGTATAGAGATTATGTTCGTGCCATTAGTTACGAATTCCAGCCTTTAATATAATTATGTTGTTTGAATGTAAAACGTGCTATGAAATGACTTAAAATGACTTTAAATCCACCAGTGTAAACCAGCGGTCCCAAGCCCGGATACAGGAGGAGGGAAATCAATTTATTTTTAAATTGGCGCAATCGTGTACTTTATGTTTGGCCCATATGGTACTATGTATTTTGAAAACTAGTGGCGAAAACGTAGCATTTGTGCAAAAAGACGCATATTTGACGCAAATGGATTTCTCCCGAACAAACACTTTAAAAATGTCGTGCATCCGACGTGCTTTTCTGGATTTACATTCATCAGAAACCCTCAAACCTAAACCGTTTAAAAGCTAGTAAGTACGCTGCAACGTTAGGAGCTATTTCTGAGTATTTGACAAAAGAAGATAGGCTACTAGTAAATCAGAGACATATTCTGATTCCTTGCCCGGCTTTTATCATACTTGTTTTTCCTTTTTGGTTTATAGCTCTTCATCTTTTTAATAAGCTTTGAATTTTCAAATATTTTGGCCTCGAGCATCACTGATGAGACAATGATTGTCAAAATGCGCATCTGGTGCAAAAAAATTGGTACCGTTTATGTTATTGTTAATACAATATATGTGTCTCCTTAAATCAACTGAACGAACACTAGATCAGTAGAAATCACACAAATTATATACATGTAAAACATTTTTCATTACTTATTTTACAGTCCATACTATTGGTCAGACATGTTTACTGTTAATGTAAACCGTCAGCAAAGTCAGACAAGTTGTTATGAATGGTGGAGCAAGGACTTAAACCAACAAACAATTAACAGTAAAGACGTCAACCCATGTCCTTGTACACTTGATGTAGCTAACATAGATTCAGCAAGGTTTAGTGTCGATCCACAGTGTTATAAGATAGAGGGATCTGAATTTTTTTGTCAGTTTCAAACACATGCTAAAGTTTGTTATCGTCTGAATATACCATCGTAAGTAAGAATTGAAATTTTATAAATGCATCTAAACTTAACGTTTACATATATGCTGACGGACTTTTAAAGCGCAGTTCTAGAATATATTTTTTATAATTTTCAATTTATAAATATATGCAATACTTGTAAAATACATATAATCATTATCTTCATTCATAGCATTAATATCAATATTATGAAGATAATCATGATTTGATGATAAAAATTAGCGAAATGTGTGTTGCTTTTTAAAAGCCCATCACTAAATATTGCTTGTTAAAATGTTGTAAACCCTAATTGATGCATTTTTTTTTTTAAAGAAGAGAAAGAATTTAAATAAAACTAGATATAAAGAATCCCCCCCCCCCCAACAGTTATTCGCAGCTTTATATTATAAAAAGAAGATTTTCGGCCCAGATTTGGAACTCAAATCAGAAATTTTGTCTTATTTTTTCTAAATGCGCATTATTGAACGTATCAAAGATATTAATTCATTGAATAAGAACTTTACATAGTTTACCAAAATTCAGATACAAGAGTAATTTAAACAGAATCGCATGTGGTCCAAACAGAATGAAACCATGTTACCCTGCTGAAAAGTAAGCATCTCCTTCTTTGATTAACTGTATAAACCACAGTAACCAACCAACATTTCTTGTATATCTTCTAATCCTTTATTTTTATTAAAGATATAGAATTATACGAAATTAATCTGTTTCATTTTCTAATATTTTATACTTTATAACCTTAAAGCAGGTCATATGGATATGACCATCAGTGTTGTTATGATAAGACCGGTGTGTTGATGAATCCAAATGGAGATTCGACGGATGGTAGTGGATATGTCAACAGATATCACTTTCAAGGGAGCAACGACGCAAATGTTCCTTTTCTTTCTAATTTTGTTTATGACGTTGTACCATACATGCATTGTTGTATGTTCCCTTTTCAAGATTTCGAGCCTGACGAAATGGATATAGCACGAAAGCAATGCTCATTATTTTTTAACAGGAGACCACCGAATTCATGCATGAATTACATTCCGCCAAGACCAGGTATTGCTGTTCATCATGTTCTGATTTCACATTTTATTACAAATAAAAAAAAAACATTTACTACGTTTAAATCAGTCTTAAATGAAAAACAATAGAGAGGTAGAGATAACACGATTGCAATCAAAATCATCTGTAAAAAACTAAAAACATACAAATTACACCCCCCCCCCTCCACCCCCCTAAGAAATAAAAATAAACTTCGCACCACCATGGATAATTATAAAAACGACGAAAAAACAAGCAAAAGTTCACAGGCACAGCACAACTCATAAATAACAGGAAATCAACTATAAATCGAGGATGAACTCATGTTTGTATTACAAAAGAAGTAGAAGATACAGAAAGAAACATTTAAAATGATGTTATTGTAGTACACTTTTAATAATCATTTCTGTTATTTTTCTCAAAAAAAAATAAAGCACTACTCAATTAGTCGTTTGAGTGATTAAAGAAGAATTGCACTGAACTTAATGCAATCTGAAAATAGAACTGTAAGCTTCCTTAATCAAAGATTTATACAATTCTGAATAACATTAACGGTTCCAATTTACTGCACCTGATGCGCGTTTCGACAATTAACATCTCTTCAGGGAGGTTGAAGAGCTGATAAAACCAAATGAAACCGAAAGTAAAGCAAAACCTGGACAATGAATCCAAACTTTGCACAAAGGAGAATCTAAATTAATTTCCAAAACTTTACAACGGCATTTTTTATGTAAAACGATATTCGTATTTTTATGACAGTATCGAAGTACTGGTTTCTTGACTGGTGATATTCACTAGGTCTTACAGTTTACCAGCGGTGGTATCGCTGGGCCCAGTGGTAGTAATAATTAATTTGATAATTGGTGATCAGTTGAAGTGCAATTTGGAGTTAGATTGACCCTGAATCAACCTGAATTTCAAATTCTACCCGATTTTCAGAATTAAATAATAAAATACTGTAAATACTTTGACCCCCACATTTTGAGAAATAACATATTGTACAACACTTACCAAAACTTGTGTTCACATTGGAAGTCTTTTTGTAATACAAATCTTTCATTTATTAATATTATCATTTTATTATTAATAGTATTATCTTTATCATTGGCAGCTAGAGTAACCGGTGATCCCCATTTTGTAACATTCGACGGACAAGCATATACATTTAATCCAGTTGGTGAATTTTCAGCACTTTCAAATGGAAATTTTTCCTTGCAGCTGCGAATGGAACAGTATTCCAATGCTCGAGGTATTTATTGAATGACAGAAAAGGGCACGAAGGCCATATGTTTATTAACATTTAAACTCTTCTATTGTTTTATTTTTACTTTATCTAAAAAAGGAACAATCTAGAACTTTTATTGTTGGAACTGACTGAAATATTGTTACAAATTCTCTCTGATCATACACATGTATACTTTCGGTCCCTTTTGGTAATATAGCCCCTTAAGTATTTAATTATTTATATATTCTTATCTTTTTTTTGGCTTCATCGTTCCCGATGAAGAATAATTATAAAACGCTTTGGACTCAACAAATACACAAAGGGGTATTTTTATTACATAGGCTAAGTGAATAATTTTCAGTTGTCTGTATTTATTCAGCTGTTGTTTAACAATAAGGAAATTGTACAGATAATTCATACTTAACGTTCTATTCAAAATGAGCACATAGAAATTATTCTATATTATATAGCCAGTTCTGTAACTTCATTTGTGGCGCAACCTTATCCAACAGCTGATGTTATTGAGGTACAACCGAACACCATTCGTGGAATTGATGTTTTGGTAAATGGAGAATTGGTTGATTTTAATTCTTCGGAAAGTATGTCTGCTTCGGTCATATCTGCAGAGGGTAAATATTTCTTCAGGATTACATTATATATTAATGAATTGTCTTATAATTTCGTAAAATATCGTTTATATGGCATTGCTTTGATTGAAAATTAAAAAAAATAAAGAATTCTGCTTAATCGATAGCTGATATTGCTCATTTAGTTTTGTTTATGCATCTATTTGTCACTGAAAAAACTTTCCACCCAATGATTAAAACTATCAAATTGGGATTGTGTTAAGAGTAACAATGTAGCATAACCTAATGCATTTTTGAGCTGTTCGGATGAGGCCAATTTGGTTTGCAAGCTCTAAATCGTAATGGTATCAACTTTTTATACCTACCAGAAAAATGTTAAACATGCTTAATATTTGGTAAAGCAAAACCAAAGAAGAAATCAATCTAATTGCTTTAAATGTTGATGCATTAAAAGAGAAGCGGAAGATACCAAAGGGTATTCAAATTCTAAAGTCGAAGACAAACTGACATCACCATGGCAAAAAATGAAAAAAACGAAAAAAAACCAAACAATAGTTTACAAATTATATTTCCATTATATTTGATATGGTGAAAAAATGAAAAACGACAAAAAAACAAATAACAGTTTACAAATTATATCTACATTATATTTGATATAACGTATCTTTGTTTCCTTTGCAGGATCAACAATAGTCAAAACATCGGACAGTCCACCGACGATTATAGCTACCTTTTACACAGAAGACATCTCTATTAAGGCATCCAGTGCAATGAACCTTCTTAATTTAGTAATAATGACATCCCCAGACCGACACACAGGTAAAGTCATAATTAACTGATAATTTATGGGAATAATCAGATTTGGATGATAGCTCTGTTTTTGCTATTGCATAATTTACAAAATTAGAGATTGTTCATGGTTTAGGAAGAAATGTGTATCTATAATTAAGGCTTTCTGCGTTGAAAATGATTTATTCAAATTCAATGCAATCTGATGTCACTACAAGAATTATGATTTTGTATTTGTTTATTGTAAAGCATAGGCTTGACTACGGCCAGCTGTTACTATTTCCATTATCATTTCGGCGTATGCAATGACATATATTTTTCGAATTTATCCCATATAGCGAATTGTTCTCTTATTTGTATTTCTATATATAGGAAATCTATCTGGTCTCTTTGGAGATAACGACGGAGACGCAGGAAATGATTTGCATTCCAAGGACAATGAGTTAACACAAGGAAACGCTTCAATGGTCGCAATTCATAATAACTTTGGATTATCATGTAAGGTTTCTTTGATACAAAGAACAGTAAGCGACCATGTTTCAGTTGTAGTATTAGCTGAAGATAAAAAAAAATAAGATAAAAAATAAATAAACAAGAATCACTTAAAATACAAGTCAGCATTCAGTGCTTCAGCACTGCTTCTTGTTTATTTTATTAATATAGTGTTCTTTGTCATTATTTTTTTTGGTTCTTTTTTGAATAAAACTACGATTTATTTGACCTCAGGCAAAGATAGGCTTGGATTGATTTTGCTGTTTATGTAGGTTACGTCTTGCTAATTTGAGTAAATTGCGATCGATGTTTTTAACTCATAACTACATTTGAATATACCAAGCAAGTGCATATATAAAATGGAATTGCATGAACTGCAAACGAAAAAAAAAATGCATGCACCGAGAAGGTAATCATCTCCTGGTTTTCAAACATGAACCACCATGCAAATCAGGACTGGTTAGAAATATAACGAGAGGGAATAGAATAATACTTTAATATTTTAGATCAGACAATTTTCTGATGTTTTAGCATCTAGGACCGGAAACACATGCATCTCATGGCTCGTTATGCAGACACAATACATTGGTTTATCTCTTGTGATGGATTTTATACTATATTGTCTCGAAATAATTTTTTTATCAGCAAAATAGAGTTGTAGAAGATTTCGTGATAAGCGCAAACTGAGCACTTTTAGTTGAAGGTCTTACATAATTCTTGATATATCACGTTCATGATGTTATACATAAGAAGTCTTATTCAAGACTTTTACCCTGGTTTTCTGTACGAAGAAAGACATTTGCATTCCCTTTCAAGTATAAGGTGCAACAAAACTCCCTTGTTCGTATTTTCTAGTACATGTATGTGAATATGCAGCTGTGTACCCTCAAGAAAGACAAAAACCCAGATATCGTGATATGTTCATTATAAGATCATGTATACGTCACGTTTTACTTTTTTGCTATATTCTGGTGCCCTCGTGACCAAAAGCTTATCTGTAAATCTCAAGCACATGCAGTGTTACTACTATATGTAGAAATGACCGTTATTAAATATTCCATACATGATTAGAAGTATAACAAAAGTACATGTACATATAATAACAAATCCTTATTACGCTTTAAATATCATTGTAGGGAGAGCTGCAGAAAATGAATCATTATTCACCTACACAGGTGGCAGAACTTACGAGTCATATCAGAATTTGAACTTCATTCCTACATTTGATATACCTGATAATATTGATCCCACAATAACACACCTGTGTAATTCAAATTCAGACTGTATATATGATTATTACGTGACTGGAAATCCTATATTTGCCGAAATGTCGGCAAACGCATCTGATGACTTTGCAAGAATTTCTAATTATACTATTCCAGGTGAGGCTCGCCTTTAAAAAAGCGAATTGTGTTGTTGTTATCTATTTTGCTTTACATGTAAAAAATGTTTTGAAAGACAAATTCATATACAATGTATATTGTTTTAAAACAAGACTAGATTTAGATGGGAAATTATTGTCAAAAGGGAATAACAAATAAGGAACATTCCCCCCTCATTGATGAATGTGGTACAGTGATACAATATACCAAATGAAAACGTTGTTGGCAGCTATTCTTAATCAGCAATAGTAATTCTTTATTACATTATACATATATTCATATTTGTCTAACCCTGAAAAGGGATAAAATTCCCAGAAATCTCAAGTTAAATAAATAGAATTTATCAGAAAAGATGAACACCTGAACTATCAAATAATAATTGCAATTGCGCTTTTCGTTTTACGTAAATAAAATGACTAATGTTGTTGCTTCGCATCACGGTGCGGAGCTATTAGTTTCAGTCGGTATACACGCCATCTTGAAATAATTACTTATCACATATAGATTCTGATTGGTTGCTTTATGGTGCGGCTGAGATACAGCAACAGCTATTTGCTTGATGAGATAAAGAATTACAGACTTTTCTCGTCTCAGGATAAGACATCAAATGCCGGAAAATTAATTATGTGTGTTTCAGTTCCGATCAACTATCATTAATTCATGTTCGTTTTATTATGCATATATTGCACACTGAAATTCAATATTGAAATATCAATTGTTAATACGTGTTTATTTGCTTTGTTAATCTGCAATATGCAGGATTTGTTTTGCTAAACAATGTTCCTATACAATGTTTACAAAAATGCATCATCTGTATTTTATAACTTCTGCCAATCTAGGCACACCTCCACAAAGGCACACCTCCAGAGTCGTGTCTATTTGTGAATGTTTTAATTTTCAACAAATAAAGTGAACAAAATTTTAAAAGCATGGGTGTATAACGCACACTCTTAAAGTAGAACAACATCATTTTCACTGAAACTAAATATTTATTGCTGTTTACAATTATATGTTATTGCTTCGCATTGCAAGCTTTCGTGTTACTCTTAATCAACATACCTAAACATTCATATATATCTAAAAAAATTATATACAGAACTAGCAATCAAAATCGCAATGACCAGCTGAAAGAACTAGAAAACCGCACTCCACAAAAACACATTGACAACTAAACACTGAACAGCCAGTTTAAAATTTCAGAAAGGTTCATCTTAATATATATACAAAAATTGATATCCCAAGTCTAAGACATCCTTTTTATATCAATCACTATCTAAAAATACCACATTTCCAATACTAATTCAACAACCACATGCGGACATACTACCTTAAATTAGGATAGAGCGAAGCAGTCCATAGCTTTTTAGAAAGTTAAAACTTGTTGGATAATAAGGTTTAGCTAGCTATAAACCATGTTTAATCCACCATTTTCTACATAAGGAAATGCCTGTACCAAGTCAGAAATATGACATTTGTTTTCCATTCGTTTGATGAGTTTGAGCTTTTGATTTTGCCATTTGATAAGGGACTTTCCGATTTGAATTTTCCTCGGAGTTCGGTATTTTCGTTATTTTTCTTTTTCATAAATTAAGTTATAAGATAATGTGTAAATAATGTACTTATATATCTAAGACAAAAGTCAACAAAACAATTGTAAATAATCATAGCCAGAAATGTTCTGTTTGTTGTAATTTCGGTAGTTGCTACATGTGGATTCCCATCAAACGTAAGTGATGCAGTTTGGGTAGCGGACGGCTACACAGAGGGATCATCAGCAAGATTATTATGCAACCGAAACTTTTTCCAAGTAGACGTAGTGATAACATGCACGCCTTCTGGAAACTGGTCAGACTTCAATGTTACTTGTATGTCATGTAAGTTATTGCCTCCTCCTCCTCCTCATTCTCATCAAATGATACAGTAAGGACACTTACACGTTTTTGATGTTTTTTTTGTTTGGCAATGCTTTACGTTTTGGTTATTAACAGTTCATTAGACTTATACGTTATGTAACTGATATAATCATTCATAATTAAAAGGAGTGGTGGTTTAACACCCATGATACATTAATTCATTTAACAAATAAAACGAAAAACAACATGCACGGCATGTCTCAATTTCATACTCGTCCACAGTCGGGATAAAGACTATTAAAGATTTGCCATTTACGATCATTTACACCAGGTTCAATCCACCATTTTCTACATAAGAAAATGCCTATACCAAGTCAGGAATATGACAGTTGTTGTCCATTCGTTTGATGTGTTTGTGCTTTTGCTTTTGCCATTTGATTATGGACTTTCCGTTTTGAATTTTCCTCGGAGTTCAGTATTTTTGTGATTTAACTTTTTATACCAAATTTCTTAAGGGACAAAACTCAAAGCAACCTCTGGTAGATGAAAGTCAAATAATACCGTATCACATAATGGCTGCATACTTTCTGATAAAGAAATATTTCTATCAAACAAGCTGAGTGTAAAACATAATGTGTATCATATCATAGCAGGTGCTCGGATATTTCAAGAATAAGACTCAATATTTGGAATAAAGTTCAATAAAATCTATTTTCTGAAATGTTACTGCAACAGAACAAAATGTTGACTCCAAACTTAGAGTTCGTTTTTGTACAATACCTGAATTAAATCAATATTATGACTGAAATATTCATGTAGTACCGCAAGTCTTTCCCATTGAGTGTCTGTATTGTATAAGCATTATATATCAGTTATACTGAATAAAGGACATGCTATTTCATTTTTTTTTTTTGCATTTAAATTTGACATTTCTTATTTTACAGCCTTCAAAAAGATACAATCTTATTGACTTGCTTACAAAATTTGTGAAAACCACGAAATCATTCATAATTTTTTTCTCTCATAAATTCATGAAATTTGTCCTCACGAAAAAAGTTAACGAAAAGTAGATGCATTATTGTTTATTTACCAGTACCAGAGTGTGGAAAACCTCAATTGGTAGCAAATGGATATTGGGTACCCGTAGAAGGAACTGATGGACGAAAGGCTACTCTTCAATGCAAAGATGGTTATTATATGCCAATTGAAAAAGTCCGAATAATCTGTTCATTAAATGGCACGTGGACATACGTTGAAGTAAAATGCAATATAGGTAATTGGAAAGACATTTTAACTCCATTTTCTGTTTGCTATTAATAGGCTTGTTTCATGGAAAACTGTTAACAATTGTATTGTACAATCTTTAAGGAATTAAAACAGGAACAGTTTAAAAGAATATAAAAAATCAGTGCGTTATCACAAAAAAAGTGCCTTTGAGAATACTAGGATAATGCATAAATAGTTCTTTAGAATTGACTATTTGTTTGTTTGTTTGTTGGTGTCACAGTCATCTTTTATTGCCCTGGGATATATTATGGCCACCAACTTTTAATGGTGGCGGAAACTGGAGTGCTTTGCGCTAACCATCGACCTTTGGCAGAAAAACTGCCACTCCTTTTCAAATAAGATCGGAGTTGAACACACCTGGACAGCGTTCGAAATCACATCCTGTGAGTTGACAGGTTAGTAATCACTGCAGATGAACTACTTGGACCACTTGGCTATCGAGGCCCTCCTTAGAATTGTTCAAAGTCAATATGTATACACTAAATGTTATATTAGCAATATAAAAATAAGAAGATGTGGTATGATTGCCAATGAAACAACTCTCCACAAGAGACCAAATGACACAGTAAAAGAAATAAAAAATTATTATAATGGAAATATGTTTTGATAAAATAAATAGTTTATGTATTAGTACCGATAATATTGTTTAATTTTATCGGATACAAAAGTATTGTATATTTCCGTGTGCAACAATATTTAAATATGTGTTTTATTTTTTTTAATTTACTAGTGACAACTTCTTCGTCATCAACGGTATCAACATTAGAACACATAACCTCTAACCGAAATACATTTATTAGTCAAACAAACAATACAGAACCTCAAACAATAACTACAGAACAAGCTACAATAATTAAGGCTTCCACTGTAGAACAATCTTCAACAACTAATGCTACTATTACAACTGATGGCACATCTTTCTCGAATGACGGTTTAGTTACTTCTACAGCAGAAAAAGTATCAACAAGCTACCAACATGGAGAGATAGATTCGACAAGAAGTGTATCAACCTCAATCTATATATCAACAATAAAACAAGACAAACAAGAATCGACAACTATATTTCAACGTAGAAGATCAACGACTGAAACAACTGAATCGTCGACTACGTCATCTATTAAAGAGCCAAAACCCGAAATGACATCCGATGCATCTAGACCATTTGCACCATATAAGTACAACACGTTTACGATTTTAACTTTGACAGCTTGTATAGTTGTTATCATCAAAACTATTATGTATTATTAGTGTAATGGATTAACAAATATCGATTTTTTTATCGCAGCAAATTCTTTGTTTTTAAGATTGTCTTTTACTATATACATAATCTGTAAAAAATCCTTCTGACTGTATATTAGTCTTAAATGGTAATATTTATTTTGGTTATCCTACAGAATAGAAAAAAAAGCCTTATATAATTGGAAAAGCAGATACCTAATACAATGGGACAAAGTCCATACTTTACGATGAAGCATTAATTTTACGATTTCGAAAGATATCTTCATAGGAACACTTCAACGCGTACATTTCTTTAAATTAAAGTAACTTCCTTGGTGGTTTCGTGCTTCTCTCGAGTGTGAGAGGTCTTGGGTTCAATCCACGGCCGAGTCGAACCAAAATTTTGAAAATTGGTAGTTGCTGTCTCTCCGCTAGTTACGCAAGCAGCATGTAGGAGTAAAAGCAAAGACTGGTTGGCTCGAAGTCAGAATAATGTGTCTGGGTAGAGTAGTATATCTTCTCTGTGGACTTTTACCCGATGAACTAGTACGTTAAAAATCAGGCTCAGCCTTTCGGCCTAGTACAAAGCAGGATTTATATTGATATAACATTATCATGTTCTCGTCTTGAATATGCATCTAATTTGCCATTGGACGTTTAACACCCACCCATCATCATCATATGGTAAAGTAACAGTAACGTCGTTTCATTTACATTTGGAATCGACATAATATATATTTTATTGTACAATTAATTTACAGTAAAAATATCAAACGGACTAGTATTTTCTTATCTTGCTTTGGAAAAAAAGAATTAGAAACACAAAAGCTCTATTGTTAATAATATTATCTTATCAATTGTCTAAATAAATGGACGTCTATTGGTAGGGATAAGATTGTATACAAAATACTATCTGGTGGTTGCTCTAAACCTTTAAGCTTTTTTTAGCATAACTTTGTTTGGATAGAAATGGGATCCTTTTATTTAAATATTTTAGAAGTGAAACCAAGTAATTGAGCAGTTGCTTGATGCTTTCTTGGCAAAAACAGCCTTGCTTCTACATGGTGTTTTTTTTCAATACGGTCAGAGTGTGCCATTGTTTTCTATCTAGAACTGTTGACCGATATATTTTTAAATCACATACTCCTCTGTAACTAATCAGTGGTCCCGAGATGTCACAAATGTGTAACGGGTTCTTCTTGTTAGGATATACATCTTTATCTTTCTTTGGTATGTTGTGCTTTACAGTGGACAAGGGAGGCTGTTTAATTCATTGTTAATAAGTTGTCAGAGTTCAGACAATTTCAAACAGTACCTGCATCCTCCTCTTCTCTAGTGTTTCAGAAATGTTTCATACCAAGTATCACGAAATAGAAAGGACAAATATATAACATATCCATAAAACATGCAAACATATGACGTGTTATTTAATGAATCTACATTTTTCTCGTGAACGGACACATTTCTGAACTGAAGTCAAGGACGTATGCCGAATAAAAATCAAACACTCAAATCTACAAATGCAAATATGAACCGAGGTTCTAATCCATACAATTCCTTTCTTAACCATGGGAAAATATCTGATTACGAATTCGTGTTGCGGTAGGAGTCAGAGGTAATAAAAAAACTGATCGGTCAGTAAATTCCAAATAGGACGAGAACGGGCGAAGTGAGAGCCCCATATGGAATTTAATAACCTCGTATATACCGTATTAGGCCACTAACACACTGCATCACACAAATCTATCTAAGCGACTATCTTGAGAAAATTAAGACGTAGTCGTAAAAAATAATAAATATTTTTCAGTTGCTGTTATCGTGATCAATATGAGCCATTAAAGCAATATTTGGTGGCATGTGGACTATTACAGTGATGAAGTCTTCAATATTAAGAAACTACTTGCACTGGTGTAAACAACATCAAATGCCAACAGTAACAATTAAATATCAAAGAACTTTGATATCGCAATTTTTAACACATTAAACAGGACTTTCTATTATTTATAGCGAGGAAAACAGCGTCTCCAAGATTTTTTTCTGTAAAAGCTTAATTTTTTTTAAAGAAAAGTTGCTCTTCTTGTAACTTCTACTAACCGTGTATTTAAAAAAAACCCAACGTCTTCTGACGTTTACGTATGTTTAAAATATAAAAGTATAATAAAAATGCCGAACTCCAAGGTAAATTCAAAATGGGGAAGTCCATAAAAACTGACAAAATCAAACGTTATCAACCAACTGAACGAGAGGAAAACAACTGTTATATTCCTGTATTTAAAATGCAACTCTTCCAATCACCGTGTATTAAATATAAATTTATGCCCATAAGAGAAAGAAGTGAATGAAATACGCGAAGGGGACACTTACAAAGTTACATTAAAGTTAGGAGGCCTTAAAGACGATATCAATTACTTGTGAGTTAAAAGAAAGAAATTCATATAGAGGTCTAGAATTACGAAACTGTAGAGGAATAAAAATGCGTAGATAAGGCAGAAATTCTCTTCTTTACACCAGCGACACTCATCGTGATACTTATTCTAAATCCCTATGATACATCAAAGTTGACGATTTAGCATAATATAATAGAAAAGAAGATATCTTTTGTCTTAAGTCAAATATTTTACTAAATTTATAAAACATCGGTACATGAAACATTGGAGGTGCGCCTATTGCAGTATTTTGCTGGAAAACTGGCTCCAATTGTGATGATTTGTAGCCAATGTTACTGTGACTTGACTGTAAGTGTTGCTCTCAACCTATTCCAACTTATTCAAAATTCTGACCAAATTGCAATTTGTTTTATAAAACCAAACTGTTCAATTGATCAGAAATTTGAACAAACTGCTGTAGAAAAACACAGTCAAGTCGTGAAAGTGCAAGGTGATAAAATAAAGCATACTTACAATCCTATAAGACTTTAATTCCACTTCATTGTTATAATAAAAAATCGGTCTAACAGTCTGTATAGAAATTTTATTGTTATTGTCATGCTAAAGGTGATGGGTAGTAATTTTTAATTGCTATAAAAATGTCCAAACTAAGCTTTCATACATTTTTTCTTTCGAAAAGTCTTCTATATTCATAAGAATCAGACATCATTTGAATTAAAACATTTTATATTCAGTAAAATATGTGTGAAATTACAATACGTGTTTAGTAAGTTTCCATGGGAGATAATCAATTTTCCTTTTAAAAGTCTTCTATATTCAAAAGAATAATGTTTTAGGTTATCTCCCATGGAAACTTATTAACAACGTATTGTAATTTCACAGCAGTTTATCAATGTTTAAATGTCATAAATTGATTGAGAAGACAAATCAAGGTAACAAAAAAACTGAAACAACTCTAAAGCAGGATAATCGTCTCCCGTTATGCATGCATCATCTGCCATGCGAATCTATACTTAGTAAACATTTCGCAATCGGGAGTAGAACAGAATCGATAAAATTACAGATTAGATGACTATTCTGGTATCTAAATATCTAAGACTGCGAAAACATTTCGCTAGTAAATTGAGACACATACATATCGAATCGGTCAACCGATTCATGATGGTAACCATAAAACTCATGAAGTGTCAATTTCAGTCGTTTTCCGGTCAGTAGGGGCGCACAATTCTTACCCCTAAGAATACCAATTGTCTGTTGAAATATAAATCCATCAAACAAAACAAATATGTTGTCTTTCAAATTCTCTAGCATTTTGATAATCATCCTTGTTGTATTTGTCTTTGGAATCAGTGCTGTTCGATTTTTCATATACCAAGAACAAAAAATTTGCCCCCCCCCCCCCCCCTAAATAAACGGACTCTGTTTAAGACGATGTATTCGATCTTCAATTAAGCATAGGGAATAGAAGTGTAAAATGTAGAAAAAAAAAAATATTACTGCAATATTTTGCAGTGGATCTTTAGAATGTTTAAGAATAGACATCTGATTGACACGGCTGGTTGAGTTTACCTATTGACAATATTTCTGAAGCACATTTTTTACTGTAGAAAGAATTATGGTACTTAAGAAATATGTTTAGTTGAACATCTTGACGACCCGCGTGGATAAATATAGCATGGAATTGTATTGCTTTTTCTCTACTGTAAATGTTACATGTACTTTTTGACTTGATTAGATTTTTAATGTTTGGAAAACTATTTGCCTGTTAATTTTATTACAACATCTGCTAATAGTGAATTTCAATAACCACCAATGTTTAAATGAGGACATTGGAGGTTGGTAAACTCTCTTCTGAAAAAAACAACAAAGTTTTATCCCTCACTTTCTTTTTTACAAGGCAAACTACTTTTGACAAGCACAATCGTGAGACAAAAGTCAACTCGAGAAGTTCTCTACCATGAATAAACAACCGAAGTCCTTAATGTTATTAGTTAACAAATAAACATGATGATAGAACTCTTGATATTCTAGAAATTGTTCTCTGTGAACTTGTTTTTTTGGTAATTGGATTGAGATTAAGTATTATATAAACTGTTTTACTCTATCACTTTTTTGTTTAACTTCTTTTCGTGCGATGATTTCCGGTACATAACTTTTTAATCTTTTGATTTACAGCTGGCATTAGGCTTTTGCTATTTTGAATGTGGATATATCACATACAGACAGTGTATCGCGTACCGTCAGGGACACCCTGTAACCTTGACCTTTGACTACTAGGATCCGCTAGAGATTTGCTTTCCTAGGCTTTTGTTAATTGGAATCATGGTACATTGTGATATAGCGTACAATTGGATAAAACATTTAACGATATACGAAAGATGTGTATAAAAAAGTAAAATAACAAAAATACCGAACTTCAAGGAAAATTCAAAATGGTAAGTCCCTAATCAAATGGCAAAATCACATCAAACAAATGGAACACAAACTGTCATATATACCATTCCTGCCATTCCTGACGATGGTCTGTGGTTCTCTCCGAGCATCCACGTTGAGCTCCATATTTCGTACATAACGGAACACTTTCGAAAATATTTAGTATGCGCGCACAGACAGACGATTTCACCACTACCATCATAAGGAATCCATATATTGCACAAATCGAAATTTTTATCTCACTTTCAACAGGAATCTATATACTCATTCTTGAATCAGATCTGTACTACCATTTTCCATTGAAGACACATTTGATAGATCCCAATTTGTACTCGTCGTCAATTTCGAGTTAAAGGTCACGGTATGAAGCGGACGTTTGAGAGTCGTTGATTTGTTTCATTTCAAGCTCACTTTGGTAGATTTTACTATCAAGAAAATCTTCTTTAAAGTAAAAAGAAGTCATCCATGCTAACCTATTTGTCCTAGAGTAGCCCTGTATGTTGTGAAGTTTATGTGTTCAGGACAGAAATGGCAGATTGTGAGCTTCGTTAATGGTTACCGAATGAAAAGAGTACAGAGTTGTTCATACTAAGAGATTTAATTGTTTGACAAGTGTTGCGAATCTAAAAATTAGACATATTGACATGGGAATGTATTGAAGAGTATAGCCCGTCTTACATCAGTACTTAAGTGTCATTATACAAAAAAGTCATACTCGGAATTTCAAACATTTTCGGCGACCTAAGTAGCCGAGAATTTTAGATAGTTAGATATTCTACCGAGTAGATCTTTCTTACTACTCGCCACAGAGGCGTGGGTTCGTATCTGGCTTTGTACAATTGTACAATTACATAACATGGTATACTCGATTCATTGTCATGTGATAAAAAGTTTTTTTTTATGTAATTGCCCAAGATTATCGGTTCTCTCCAGAGACTATGGCTTCAATTTCTCCAAT